ACATTTCAGAACATCACTCAAGTTTAAAATATGCCTCTTTTAATGTATTTTTATTTTATTATAATAATAATTTAAATTAATAATGTTTAAAACTATGTGTGACTTGATTAGGATGTTATTATCAGTGTATTAACTCAGATTAAACCATATTCATGTGGCATCTGATAGTGTTGTATTATTGAGCATTATGAATATTTCAATATGGTTTTTCCACCTCAGCAGGCAGACATTACTCATTTTTCTACCAAATATTTATTAATAACATCAGGGCACATAACGGTAACCTTTTAATTCACCACTGACTTACAAACAGCACCTCAGAGAACAATCAATAAAATGTGTGGTCCTGTTGACTTTGCGAAACCGTAAACATCTCCAGGCTGTTGTATTGCGGTTTTTGCAATGGCAACTTTATAAAAGCATAAAATTTACATCACAAAATAGTAGAGTTGTTACTAACCAATACTGGCCCAGACATGAAGCATTGGCACAGCCATGGAGCCTCTATCCTACTGTTTAACAGCCTCAGGTAAAGGGAACAACCATAGGGCTCAATTTCATATTCAAGCACTGCTTGTAGGAGGCTCTGTTTACTGGACAATCATGCACAACCGGCTCAAGTATGTCATCATTTTTAGGTCTTAAAGGGATTCTAGTGCTCTTGTATGGATTAGCCGAGCCTTAAACAGTAGAGAAACAAATTTATATTCATATTCATGTTCAGCACACAAAGAGGAATTCAAAGGACTGATAGCACAGTGAAAAACTGAATTCAAATCTGTTAAGCTCCCTAGACAGAGCTTTAATGACAATGTTTTCATTGAATTTAAACAGTTAAAATGTATTTTGGCCATTCCTTTACATGACAATGCAGCTTTGGGGATTCGAAAATCCAAAGATTTAAAAACAGGTTTCAAAGTGCAACATTTGAACAATGATAAAATAAATGTAGTGAGCATACATACCTGTCAAGGATGTGAAAATAAGGGATTGCATAGGAGGGGTGACGACGCCTGTAATGGAAAAGAAGGGAATCCTGCCGTTTTTATATTGATTTCAAAGTGTTTTCATGTCTAAATAAAGTGAAAGCATCGAACAGATTCACATTTAAGAGCAAGGGGCGTCCCCTGGTGGTTCGGCTGTATGAGTTGTGTATAGGGAGGATCGGCTCTTTAACCTTTATTGCCACCCTTCATATGAAAATATTTTATTATCTGATACTTATACCCTAGCTGAAAAAAAAATTCTTAAACCAGCCTAGACTGGCTGGCTGGTTTTAGCTGGGGACCAGCATGGCTTTAGAGGGCTTTTGGCCATTCCAGACTGGTTTCCAGCCATTTCCAACCTGGTCTTAGCCAGTCAGGCTGAGAGATGACCAGCAAAAAGCAGCCCGACCAGCCTAGCCAGGCTGGGAGCCCAGCCAAAACCAGCTATGTCAGCTTAATCCACGCTGGTCAAGGTGAATTTAGCTGGTCAATTTCCAGCTAAACCAGCCAAGACCAGGCAGGAAATGGCTGAAAACCAGCCTGGAAATGGCCAAAACCCCATTAAAACTAGGCTGGTCGACCATCTAAAACCATCCAACAGTTTAGGCTGGTTTAAACCTTTTTTTTAGCAGGGACATAACTACTGTTGATTAGTAGACAAAAGACAAACATTTGATCATAGAACTCGACAAAGACTTGTATTTAAATAATTTTTAAAAGGCTTTTTTACGAATAAAAGAAGTCAATTTGAGTTTTACTATCATAAAAGCTTTATGATTCAGTCAGCGTGAATTAGCATGTTGCTGCTGTTACTAGCAAGGTTAACACTGTTAGCTTGTTGCTAGCATGTTCTAGCCTGTTTTATCAGTTAAGATGTTTTAACAGATCGCTAACATGTTCAGTACGCTGCTAACAAACAGTTACTGGCATGGTTAACATTGTTATTATGTTGCTAGCGTGTTTGAAACCTATTTTAACATTTAGCATGTGTAACATTAACATTTGTGCATGAATTATGCTAGAATAGACTCGGTAGTAATTAGGTTTTGCTATTGCTAGATAGTTGGAAAGATAGATAGACTTGTTATTTCACTTTAAAAGATACAGCATACCAACTCACAACATTTTGAAGGTTTCACCGAGGTTTGGCGTTTGTAGCTTGAAAACACAAGGAGATGCTGCTTAAATTTAGTCTCTGAAGAAGAAAAGTTTAAACAGGGTATCAGTATATTACCCTTTCAGCGAGGTCATGCTTAGCTTGGCAAGATTCTCTAACAAATAATAATAAAATGAAACAGAGTTATAAAAAGTTGATTTTAATGGAGGCTGGGGAACTGACCACTCAGCCAAAATCAAAAGAAACAATCATGACATACTGTCAGCACACTGCATACACACTTCCACTGGATTCGTTGCAATCAAAAGTGAATCTGAAACTACTGTAGTCCAACAAAACACAACATCATGTTGGGAAGTTTGTTGAGAAGTAATGGCAGCATTTGGAAACATCATGTAATGCTAAAGTTTTGGCACAGTGAATATAAAATACCTTATGTCATATGTATGAAGACATATCATAACAGCACTAAGAAATGTTGAAAAGGCAATGTGACCATGTTCTTATGCAGTTTTACAATGAATCCTTACTCCACCGTCCTTTACTTTGGTGCAGGAGTATTGCGAGAATGTACCAGTCTGATGTACTGTATCCGCAGCCCTTGATTAAACATGTGTAGTTCACTCCCTCCAAAAAAATCTTTTCAACTTGCCATGTCAAAAAAGCATATTTGTTTAAAGATAACATTAAAAAGACCCCAAAACAATCAAAAACCACTACCTAGAATAAAGATCAGACATATTTAACACACCACTGGTGACCACCGCCAGCCCAGCAGGAGCACTTTTTAATATGTCAGTTTTGACATGTAGAGTGCTGCATCAAAACACGCAAAATGCTGGTCTTCTTAAGAGCTCTCTATTGGTTTTTATAATGTTTCTTTTACAATTTATAAGTAACTATCAGTTTATAGTAAACTGAACTGGCCAATGCTTTGACGTGTTGCTCTACAAAATTAATTCAACCTTGTTGAAAATGTGAGTTGTTTCTAAAAATGTATGTTTCTAGTAAATTACCACACAGTATTTTTTGTGGTAAGCACGTGGTTTACATTGTGCAGCAAATTGTTCAAGAATCACCATGTAATCATTTACAGCAGACCTAATTTTACTCATTAATTGAAAACCCAATTACAAACACCCCTAGATAAACATCAAGGAAGCCCACTGCAATGAACTCACCTCGCAGGTTTTGACATCAGAGCACTCTGTGGCCAATTCACACCACACAGACACATGCAGAGGAACACATACAATCACCAGATTACAGCAAGTCACTTCTCAGACATTCTACAACCTGACAAGCGCAGATTCAGCATGTTCAATCTGTGAAGACGACAAGCTTTGACAGATGCCAACAGGGGTAACACAATGATCCGACAAAACAAGATGAAGTTTCTTTTGCCATTTGTCAGTGCATGTGAACTGGCCTTTTACCTTCACAAAAAGGTATAGCAGGCCTTAGTCAGGTTAGACGCCATTTTAAATCTTACACAAATGTAATCAAGAATTTAAGGGACAGATTTACATTTATTATAACTTCGCACACTTTAAGAAGGCTCTATGGTCTCAAACCCAATTCCAGGAGGACCACAGCTCTGCACAGTTGATCTCCAACCACCTCCAACTCACACCTGCTTATTCATCTCTAGTAGTCTTGAACACCCTGATTAGCTGGATCAGCTGTGTTTGATTAGGGTTGAATCAAAACTGTGCAGAACTGCAAAACTTCAGGAACTGAGTGCGAGACCTATGCTCAAGGGGTGCCCAAAGGGGTGCCCAAACTCAGTCCTGGAGGGCCGGTGTCCTGTACATTTCAGTTCCAACCACAAATGGAACACACCTGAACCAACTAATCAAGCTCTAAGTACAATAGAAACTTCCAGGCAGGTGTGATGAGGGAAGTTGGAGCTAAACTATGCAGGACACCAGCCCTCCAGGACCGAGTTTGGGCCCTCTTGATCTAGAGCAGGGATCACCAAAGTTGTTCTTGGAGGTCCGGTGTCCTGCAGATTTTAACTCCAACCCTAATCAAACACACCTGAACAAGCTAATCAAGGTCTTCCTAGGTATACTTGAAACACCCAGGCAGGTGTGTTTAGGCAAGTTGGAGTTAAACTCTGCAGGGCACCGGACCTCCAGGAACGAGTTTGGACATGCCTGATCTAGAGCATATGTCTCAAACTCAACCCCTGCTCTAAATAGGGGGTGATCATCCCTGTTCCTAGAGATCTAGCTTTCTGCAGATATCAGTTGCAACTCAAATCAAGCACACCTGCCTGTAACTGTCAAGTGCTGTGCTCTAATTAATTGGTTCAGGTGCGTTTAATCAGGATAGAAGCTAAACTCAGGAAGGTAGACCTCCTGAAACAGGGTTGAGTGCTCCTGCTCTAGATCAACTTTTTTGAAGATTTTGTCTATTAAAAGTTTTTTTTTTTGTTTGTCGTTTCAAAACAGAGTACCTGGACCTGAACCTGTATACTGGATTAGTTGTATAGCTAGTTAAGTTTCAGTTTAGTTTGCTCCAATTTTGGGTTTTAGGTAACATGAAGGTAGCCCAACTTTAATTACTCTTTGCTGCCACGGTATTATTGAGCATCTGAACTGAGCTGAGCTACCTTTATGGTACCTAAAACCCAGAATTGGTAAAAACTTAACGGGCCAGCCAGCTAATCTAGCTTTATGGAATAAGACCTTAAGTCAGTATGTTGTTAAACAAATGCACATTCCATCATAAATGCACTGTACTTTTGTCCCTCAAAGACTTGTTTTCAATCTTATCAAAAATATAGTGTTTACCCGAAGTTCAGTAATGGACAGAAACTCAATTAAATTTCCGAACACTGCGGTAAGTGTTTTACACATTACGATTATGAATCATTCAATAAACTGCGAAAATGAGGCAAGTTGTGATTCAGTGTTGACAATCAGACAATCTGAAGACAGACGAACAAGAATGAGTGTTCAAGTAGATATTCTTGCTTAAATTTTACATTCACATGGTTAGACATGATTCCTGTACAATCTTATTTGGCCACCATCAGGCGATTTGAATCAGTGTCATTTTTGTTGTATTAGGCTCACGTGCCTAAAGGCCCAAAAATGTATGACAAAGGAAATGAACGCTTTAGCCTTTGACATCTTCATGAATTCTGACAGCTTCCCATCAAATGTTCTTTTCGTGCGCCGTCCTCAAAAGACAATTTGAGATCAATGCTACAAAAATGTGCGCAGATGTCAAGTACAGTTGGTGCGACACAAAAAAATCAAGTGACTGTTGAAAAAAAAAAAATGGACTATGCTAAAAGGATTGAAGGCGACCCACTGAGTTTGAAAGATTGTATACACACATCTTTATGGCATAGTATCCGACAAGATCTTCAGGCACACACAGAAATCTGTGCAACGGTTTAAGACAAGTTTCCCTTCATGTTTTCAGACAGGGAGTCACTCGAAGCCCCATGAGCTGCAAAATAGGAACAAACAGGACAGTTTGTAAGTTGCAGAGAAAGCCAGCAGCAGATGGTTTCACTTCCTGCCTGTACTTTAGGTGAAGCACTTTCAGCAAAAATTTGACCTGGTAAATATTTGGTTTCCTCCAAACTCCTGGTTCGGAGTGCCAGGTCAAAAAGAAGTTCACAGTGAACGTAAAAAGTCACATGTGGACATTAATGCAATGGGGTTAGTCATGCTGCTCTTTGGAAAGACAACACTTGCGTATCGTTTTACTTTTTTAGTGCGGCTGCAAGGTGTCAAACGTTTCCAGATTGATTAGGCCAAAGGTGAAGAACGATTGGAACACAAAAGAGGAAGAAGCAGACTGATGCTCTTCTAATGTACCTACAGTATAAGTTGCATCAGTCAGTTGGACGGAGCTTTAAGGTTTGTTACATGCAGCTTTGGCTTTGCCGTTAGTGCTGGATTTGAGTTGTGTCATCTCCACTTCAGCCGTGGTGTCTGATGGTAAACTGTTACGCATACGCTCGATGGTTTTCTGATAGGAGGCTTTCTCTTGCTCCAGAGAGCGGATCAGGTGCTTCATCTTGCTTTCGCGGGACAGGAAACTCTCAACGCTACTCTCCAATGTCTGAATCTTCAAACGAGCCGCCTAGAAATAAGGACAAAGTGAGATTTGTGTGATGAATGAGTATTATGATGAAAAATATTCACAAATTTTGTTGTGTCAACATATTGATTGAACAATTAAAAAGTAACAGATGTTTGATGAAAAACATACCACAAATAATGAAATGTTCTAATATATTTGATAAACAGTTTTAAAAAAGTAAAAAAAAAAATCTAATTATATATATATAAAAAATGTAAGTTTTTGTACATTAAAAATGACAAAAAAATTAATAAATTATATAAACAATTTTTATGGAACAATAAATTTTTTTTATCAATTTAACACATTCTTGCTGAAAAATATTTATTGCAATTTTTAAAGGGCACCTATGACACGGTTTTCCCCGCCCACAGAATTGATTGACAGCCACCATGTTTCTATAACATGTATACACGTCCACGCAATATTTTTCTTTACAAATAAACTTGGATTAAAATATCTGTTCCAACTGTTCCAACTGTATCTGTTCCAAACTTTTTAAAACAGAGCATATTTGTAATAAAGACAGTAAAATTGCTATGTAATTCTTAACCGCTATAAATCACCACAGCCGTATGGTGTCAGTAAATGCACATACGTGTGTGTGTGTGTGTGTGTCTGTGTGTATACTGCAAACGGCATTTGTGTGAGACTCATCATTTCATAAAAGGCTTGAATAAACACCACACATGTATAAACACCTCATATACATGAAATAAACTTACTTTGTATTTTTGACTGATGTGCTGTATTTCTGCTTCATCTGCCTCTATCACTGACAACTGTTGATAATTTTGTGCTTGAGTAAAATGTCATTTATTGTGCTTTATTCTGTAAACTACTTATGGCATTTCTTCTCAATTTAAAATAAAGCAAGTTTTCACTCAAAAAAAAACAACTCGTCAAATAAGAAAAAAGTTGTTTTCATTCATATATAGACAATAAAAAAGAACTTAAGATAATTTAAGCAATCAATATTTGGTGGGATAACCCAGATTTCTATCACAACAAATGAAAACACCTATTTTGACGAATTGTGGTTAGCACCATGACCTCACAGCAAGAAGGTCGCTGGGTGTGAATGCAAAAATGTAAGGGTGTTTTCTAGTGCTAGGTTGTGGCTGGAAGGATATCCGCTGTGTAAAACCTAGGATAAGTTGGCGGTTCATTCCTCTGTGGCGAACCTTGATAAATAAAGGTACTAATCCAAAGGAAAATTATTAAATGTAATTTTTAGCAAAAACCAAAATGCTCTTAAATACAAAATAATAAAGATATTCCATCAGACCTTTATATACCAAAACCATTATTAATAATTTACTCAAACATATACATTAGTAAAAGTAACAAAAAAAAACTTTTAAATAGTCTCTTCATTTTTTCCCCATAAATGTTAGTGAATAGATACTGAATACAACAAAGAACAATTTGCTTAAATTAAATTTAAACGTGATAAATTCCCCCAAAAATCAGTGGGCTAAAAAGTGTGTTAGATCTTTCAGGGCAAACTGTTTACATTTATTAGCGATAGTTAGTTTTGCATCCAAATACTATTACGTTAGTCTGGACAATACAGCCAAAAAGCATTTCACTCTCCCACAAATCAAGCTACTAGGAACATCTTGCTTTAAGCAACAAGTTGTTTTTAGGAACCAGTTGGCGATGAACATGTTGTGCTGTTACATGTTTAGACTAATAGAGTTTCAAGGATCACTCATTCTGCCACATTCATAAACACCAGCGTCAGCGTGTGATGGAACAACAAACTTTTATCATTTGGATTATCATTACATTTCAGGTTAAATGCTGAACTGTCGATGTCCACTGTCTACTTAAATATCTGACTCAAATGATCTTGTTTTTTATATATATATATATTTGTTGGTAGTAAACTCTGATGCGCTACTGTGAAGATCTTGGTTTCAGGTACTTTACTGCCACCCACTGGCCATGAGAGCACAAAACATTCATCCACATACCTGCAGTTTCTCTAGTAAGTCCATGTTTTGTTTCCTGAGCTGGGTATTGGCTTTCTCCAGTTTATCCAGTCTATCAGAGTCCTCTGACAGTGGAGGAGCATCTGAAAGCTCATCCTGCAGGACGTGATACTCCACTTCATACGCTTGTAGCTGCTTAGAGATGTCCATCTCAATCGCCTGCAAAACATTTTTTTACCATCAGAATTATCACACCGGTTCTTAGAAAAGAGAGAGATTTTTAATGTATGGCCATATCAGCTTCTCTGGCTATTTCATGGCAAAGCCAGATCACATACACATACAGATATTTTATGAATCTATATAAAAATCTAAAAATAAATAAATAAAAATAATTAAAACAATAAAAACAAATCCTCAGCAAAACATAATAGAGAAGATAAAAATCTAAAAGTCTTTTAAGGTTTACTTTTGATAAACATTCTAGCATTTTTTAAAGGATTCACAATAAAAAAAATATTTCTTTTTAAGTCTCTTCAGAAAAAAAGCATGTTAACATAATAAATTGGGCATTCCACACAAAATAATGTTTCTTACAAAATAATGCAACCAGATAGTCACAAACAAGCTCTAGCATGAAGTATGACAATTAAAAAAAATAATGGTCCAGTTATTTGTGTCTTTCTTTATAAACCAGGATATTTTGTCGACCGATAAGGTTTCAGTCTTGAAAAATTAAGACAATTGGCTCCATCTAGTGGTAAAATACAGAAAACACAACTATTACAAACAGAACGGGAAACAATGAGTATGCTTTAACTAGATTTCTTTAAGTCTTTACATCTGTTTAAACATTGAAAGAGGCTGGGAAAACTAGCTAATGAATATTACTATAAATGTCTTTGTCATTTGAGGCGTAGCATACATTTGACAATGTTGAATTAATACACATTAATAATTAATATTAAGTATATATTTTATCATATGAATAAGTATAAAACATTAATAAAATACAGAAGTTCTCTGCAAACCTGTGCAAGTTACTAATGGATTTGGAAAAGCGGATCTACAGAAACTTTGTGCTGTATATTATAAGAATAAAAAAATATTGAAGCCGTTTCCTCTCTGAACATATCTTTCAGGAGTTGAAAATGAAGTTTAAGACCCATGCTTTGCAAACAAAGTCAAGAAGTGAAGGCACTTAATTTAACTAATTTATTAAGATAAAACTTTAAGGATTTTAATTGTTCTATTTTATTCCCATGTTTCTGTGTAAGTCTTCTGTTTAAGGCACTGCCACCTAAGGGCTTTTCTTGGTAACTTTTTTTTTTTTTTGATGTCTGCCATGGTATTTTTTTATTTGGAATCTCTATTAATGTCGACACAATGGCACAGCAGTTGGCACTGTCACGTCACAGCAAGAAGGTTGCTGTTTCTGTGTGGCGTTTGCATGTTCTGCCTCCTCCGGGTGCTCCTGTTTCCCCCACAATCCAAAGACATGCGCTATAGGTGAATTGAATAAACTAAATTGGCAATAGTGTATGACTGTGAAAGTGTGAATGCTAGTGTGAATGGATGTTTTCCAGTAATGGGCTGCAGCTGGAAGGGCATCCTGATGAATAATGGAACTAAGCCAAAGGAAAGGCTAAAGCAAGTTAAAGAAGTGACCACAGAAATTAATTAACAAAAGAAATAATGGAACAGATTTTAATCAGTTTTATTATCAAATAAAACAAACAGGAAATAAAGAAAAGCATAATTGTGTATTTGTTTCTGGTACGATCTAATCAAGTGCATTAAGATTATAAAGGTTTTAAAAATAATAATATAAAAATAATAATATAAATGAGTATGCAAATAATAAGTTATCTGTCAATATCATCTGTGCAATATCAGACAGCACCCGTGAGAACAGAACAGTGATTATTGTTAATTCAGTTTATCTCATTCATGTCAAGCAGTGTGTGCAGGGCCAGTGAGCGCATCCAGATTTTTCTTTAATTCTTAGTTGTGATTAGGTTGTTAATATATAATAGAATCTGTTAATATAAAACGTGTAGTAACGGTGCTCATAATATTTGGTGGGTGTGACTAAATTTTGTCTGGTGCACCTAATTTTTTAAGTTAAGAACACTGGTGCTACCAAGAAAAAGGCTAATTTTCGAGCCCTGCGAGACCTTAATCAGTAGTGGAAATTTGGAGATTTTCAGAAAATGTTAAATGTGATAGAGCCCCGTTACATTATTCCTTCATAAGACCATTTTAGGCAGATAAATCCTGCTTTCAGATCCACTAAAATGGCAGGTGACCGACCGCCAAATCAAGCAGATCTATGCTGTCTGAAGAAAAGGTGCACACTCATCTTTCTAAAAATAAAAAATTACTTAAAAATAGATTGAAACTGAGTTCCATATAAAAACTAAATTATTCTTTTCTTTTTATTTGTTTAACTACTACAATATTTACTACAATTTTTATATAAGCAGATTTTTTGTTTTTGAGTATAAAGAAGGATTTGTTTTATTTGCTGCTAAGCAGAAACCCCAGAAGTACAGCTTTATCTCTGTTTAAAGTAAAATAAAATAAAAAACAAGATCATACTTTTGTGATGTTAGTTTTAATACATAAAAAAAATTAAATCCGAGAAATCCTCTGGCTTTTTTCTTTTTTGCTGTATCGAAAACATACCAAACCGTGACATCCGTGTGCCGTATCAAACCGAACCATGATTTTTGTGAACCTTTACACCCCTAATATAGACATTTGGTAAAATTTGGTATTAAAAAACACCAAAACATAGAACATAATACTAACACTAGCCAACCACCATTGAAAAATATTAAGAAATACATATATTTTGGTTGTAAATAATGTCTTGGTAATTAAAGAAATTATTCAGAAATTTAATTAATAACTTCTTTAGAAGTATTGTTCGCATTTACCTCATATGATCGAAATAAACAGCAAAAGTGCAAACAAACGAAAGCTGTTATATTTGCAAAGTGTAATCAGAAAGGCTAACAGGATCTAAAACAAACACTTTCCTGCATTCACAAACATTTTATTTAAAAAAAAAACACACAATAAAATGTCCACCTCCCTGTGTAACACATTAACATCAATACTTACATATAAATATAGATTTGTTGATAAATGATTGCTCCAACACAAAGCTTCAGATACACAGGTGTAAAGTTTGTTTTATTTTTAAAGTACCTTAGTGATGATCTCCTCCATCTGGCTGTGAGTGAGGGTAGGGATGGTAGATTTAAGGTAGTCCACAATACTTTCAAAGCTGTCGCATTCCAGTATCTCTCCCTCGTGGCTGCTCAGCAAACACAGCGCCACCTTAAAAATCACCTCTGTGCCTTGCACAAACAGAAGGTCTGACACAAGACACACACACACACACACAAAAGTGTCAAAGGCCATCCACAACAAGTGTAAAACATCTGAATTTCAACACCCATTATGCATTTATAATCACATACATTGCATTAGTTCAGGTATGAGTATAAAAAATACCAAAAATACGGGCCACAAAGCCGAGTGGGAACTGAGAGGCGAAGAGAGTAAGAAACCAGGGTGCGGCATACAGGCTGGGACAGATCTCGTGCTCATCCAGGTGGGAGTACAGGTTACGGTGATAGTCGTGCAGCAGACGGGACAGCTGGTACATCTGGATCTACAGAGAAAGAGAGAGAGAGAGAGAAGAAATGTACTCACACTTTAGAGGGTTGAACTTTAAACGGGCTGCAATGTGACTGGCTGAGGCAGGCTTTCTCTCAGGGGATTAAAGATTGGCACATCTGATGATGAATAACCACTAACAGCTGACGAGGAAATGGTGCACAAGAGGTGGAGACGGCTGTTTGCTTGCTGCTTGAGCAAATGTGTGTTCATGCTGATTACAAATACACTCTTTCTCTATATCGTGAGAAAGGAATTTACAGTGAGTAATAATTTTTTTTTTTTTTTGAAAAATATTTACATATATTTCTTATTTTAAGGTAACATTATTACAAGTGTGTTTTATTAATACTGACACCTAGTGGTGTGGATGCAAAAACTTGAATAAAAACCACCAATAAAATGTCATCTTTTTGTTTGTTTGTTTGTTTACTTGCTGCCACATCAGACTACTATATTGATAAACACATAAAGTATTACATAATAATAATGATAACTTCACACATAAATAAGAGGCCAACGCTGTTTACTTTTCACAGCCTCAGTTTCGCAGATTTTTTTCATGCAACTTGACATGCTTTTTTTCTTCAGCGCATTGTGTTCTGCATCCTGATCAGTGCACTGAATTCTGCGTCCTGATTGGCAGTAGACCACTGTCAATCAATCTCCACTATGTCGTGTCTCCTGTACAGTACAGAATGCGTTCAGCTTGCCAAATTTACATAAATCTTCGATCGCTATCAGTGTGACTGAGGTGCTGGACTGTATGTTTGCAAGTTTTCTCCCATTCACATTGTCGATGAAACGTGCTGCACCGTCAAAGGCACTTGTAGTAGCACCCAAAAGACAAAGGAAGATGCTAACCATCGCACAAAAAGTTGAACTTCTGGACATACTGTACTAAATGAAGGAAGAAGTTATGCAGCTGTAGGACGCCATTATGGAGTAAATAAATGGTTTTGATCTCTGTTTCATTCTATTATACTGGATTTTTCTATGAAGGTTTGAACTTTGAGAGTGTTTAAACAAGAGAAAAATGGTGAAAATGTTAATGCCTTTTTGAGAAAAGTGTATAAATTGTCAAGTGAGGGGTTTTACATCCTTAAAACACCTATAATAATTGTAAAAAAATTAAGCTGACTACTTTGAGGATTTTGCCAATTGCGAATTTGGCTTTTTTCAGAAAGTAACTCACGCGAATAAAAAGGGACTGTTTTATTTATACACTAAAACATTAGATATTTCACTTCGAAATAGGATAATTTCCTGTAAAGACATTGTTTTGAATGATACAAAATTGTTTGCTTTGAGCATTATACTGACACCTATTGTCAGGGGCGTAGCTGACATTTTAAAAGGTGGTGGGGGGGCAGCAGAATGACATCCAAAAGTTTAAGTTCATATAATTATTGATCAAGGCCATGCAGTGGCGCAGTAGGTAGTGCTGTCACCTCACAGCAAGAAGGTCGCTGGTTCGAGCCTCGGCTGGGTCAGTTGCCGTTTCTGTGTGGAGTTTGCATGTTCTCCCTGCGTTCGCATGGGTTTCCTCCAGGTGCTCCGGTTCAAAGGTTTCAGTCCAAAGACTTGCACTGTAGGTGAATTGGGTAGGCTAATTTGTCCGTAGTGTATGAGTGTGAATGAGTGTGTATAGATGTTTCACAGAGATAGGTTGCAGCTGAAAGGTCATCCACTGCGTAAAACATGTGCTGGATAAGTTGGCGGTTCATTCCGCTGTTGCGACCCCGTATTAATAAAGAGACTAAGCCAAAAAAAAAACTATGAATGAATGATTATTAATGACCTATTTCTAAATGTTTTTTCTTTAAAAGTGAAGGGGATATATCCCCCCACGCCCTCACCTATTGGTGTGGTTGCATCAATGTGCAAAAACAAAAGTTCTCCATTGCACTTTGCAATATTGTTTTAGAAAAGAGGAATTTGTATTTGTCTAAACATGAAATCTACACATGGGATCCAACCTACTTATAGCCACTATGATGATGTGTCTTGCTATAGTGGATTTTATTTAAATTATATGAAATAAGCATAGTTTGTGTGGATGTACTGTAGCATTACACCACACATTAATTAAGCAAGATTTTAGCATTGTTAAAACAAGAATGTTTCAAAAAAAGAGGCAAAAAAAAGAAGATTTTTCTGCATTTTAATTTGGTCAAACGTTATATTTTCAACCATTATGCTAAAAGTTATGTGCAATGTGAATACTTTTTATGTTCTTTTATTCATTCTCCTAAATAATAGTTTGAGTAACGCAACACCAAACTCATTCAATTAAGTATGCATTGTTCCCCGCTCACCACATTATTTGTCACAAAAACCAGTTCTGCACCATTTAACAAACCGCATATTCATACAAGCAAACATACCAGTTTTGAAAGAAAAACATGAACATGAAGTGAAAACTGACACTCTTTTACACTCACACACAGTGTACCTGCAGAGAGATCATGTCGGGACGGTACTGGCGGCGAATACCCAAGTCGTACATAAGGAACTTGAGGGTGTCGAAAGACTGTTCCTCGCTCATGTGCAACAGCAGCAAACCGGCCACAAAGCTGATGCCCTGGCAGTAGCCCACCTCAGTGTCCAGCAAAGAGTAAGCCTTTAGTAGGTTGTACAGAGACAGCTGCCCGGCTCCCAGCTGAGCACTAAAATACTGGTGCGTTGGAAACGTCCGGCCTGGAAATCATGGGAAACATCTCTTCAGTAATGTGCTGGGTCAAAAATATAACTCTACAAATCTAAATATATTCTAAAAGTGCATTTTAGGGATGAGTGATATCTTATTGTTTGTAACTCTCCCCATTATAAGAATTTGTCTCTGGTGATAATAACAAAAAATTAACAAATGATTATGATGGTTTGGTCAGGGCTGTACAGTGCCACAAAAATTGATCCATGTACAACAGTAACACTAGTATCCATCTGAAAATTATGTGTATGAGCTTGATTAAAAACAAAGAGAGTTACTGATATAGTTAAATCCACTTTATAACATAAATCGGGAAAGAATCATGCTATTTTCAAGTATTCTCTATGGTTATAAACTTTATTTTAAGTCAGTATTAGGGCAAACTATGAGCTATGGCGTGTGATGATGATAATGATGAACTCTGACTCAAACAAATAAAACTGCAAAAGAGTTCTTCTTCTCTTACAATGAAATCTTGTGACATTTTAAATTGTCAATACACACATTCAAATAGATAAACGCATTTAGTTATCTGCATTCATCTACTCTCACCAGAGATTCCACCACGAATATGTCTTAAGTCATGCATCATACATCGAGTCACAGAAGAAGTTGAGAACTTGATTTAAGTTAATTGAAAAAGGAGAAATATTTTTAGTTACAAAACCACATGGGTCTGCTTCATAAGACATGTGTTAACCTCCAGGAAGCTGGTTTTGTTTTTAACGCTTTTGGAAGCATCAAAAAACAGCCATTACCCAACTCCTTTATACAGCATGGAAGAGCCTGGATAAAATATAAAACTACTCAGACTGTGTTTGTCTGAAGCAATATAGTCTTATACACTGTGGATGGCTTTAGGGTGAGTAAATTATGGGGTAATTTTCCATTTTAGGTCAACTATTAACTGGATAGCTTTAAGTCTTCTTTGACACTTATGTGGAGTTGCACCCTCTAGCTTCCAGTATGTAAGAATGCATAAGTGTGTGTGTGTATGTGTGTGTGCGTGTGTGCGTGTGTGTGTGTGTGTTTGTGTGTGTGTGTA